ACCGCCGACATCCGCCTGAGGCGTCACGGAAGGCCCCGCGCCAGGCCCCCAGCTGAGCGCAGCCAACCACGGAACCGTGAGAGATCGTCATGAATTTCCGTTGTGTGACGGGTTTTGCATCCATAGAGAACGGCAGCACGGCTCACTAGGCTCCGTGCGGTGCACTCAGGCCGTCCCGTGTCACAGCTGAGGACACTGAGGCACGGGAGGGGGCGTGGCTTGGCCAGGGTCCACAGCAGGCGGAGGTCAGAGGCAGGATCTGCTCTAGAAGCCGCCCTCAGCCAGCCGTCCCCTGCTCCCCTCGCCCAGCACTGCGCAGCGGCGGAGTGAGGCCTCACTAACTGGGTTCGGTCAGACTCCTAACCTGACCTGCACCTGCACCTCCCTGAGCAGCGGCCCTCCCGGCAGTGGCGCCCGCGTTCCGGTCTGCAATTCCCGCTGGGCCCGTGACAGAGGCCGGGCCTGTCTTGCCTTGGAGCTGGTCTCCTCGCGGCCGCCTGGGGCTCTGGGGCCAGAATTGTGACAAATGGCCTCACACATATTAAACTAGAGAGATGACACCGCAAGGCCCCAGATGCGAGGCATGAAAAATGGGGCTGGTCCATCTTGCGGGCCTCGGAGACAAGGAGAAATGGGTCAGCCCTAATAGGGGCTACACATTGGGCCCCCGTCTTAAATAAGTCAAATGGGAATTCACTGCCCCTTGGGGGCGGGGGCAGCCCTTGGGGAGCAGAGGAGCTAGGCAGGAGACTCAGCTTCAGGGGGAAAAGGTGCCCATGGCCAACTCCAGCAGCTCGGGTCTGGGCACCGAGTGCCAGGGTGGAGAGCCAGGGCTTCGGGAAAGAGAGGCCAGGCCGGTGGGAGGAGGCGGTTCAGGATCCCGGGCCGGTGACCTAACCTTTCTGAGCCTCAGCTTCCACATTTGCAACACGGGGTTACTGTCCGTGTTACATTTCAGATCAGTAACGGTAACATCAGAAGAGCATGTGCACGCGTCAAACAGTGCGGGAGGCGCACGGGAGCGGTGTCTGTCCCCATCATCTCCCCAGCCGCACGCAGGGGCTGAAAGCAGGGGCTCTGGAGGGTCCCCTGGACGCCGCCCTGCAGCTCCCCTGCCTCAGTCACTCCACTCCCAGCACGGCTGTGATGACACACCTGTGCTCACTGCACGGAGTCAGCACCCACAACTGTTCTCTCCCCTCCTGTCTCCCTCTCTAGCGCGGGGTGACTACCTCCCAAGGTCAAGGTCTAAGGAGGAGCTGCTGGTGGGAAAGGAGGGATGGGTAAAGGGAGTCAGAGCTTTAGCTCGTTCCGCTGTCACGGGTCTCCTTAAAGGGGATCAGGGGTGGTGTTGACGGGCCAGGGTCCCTTTTAGGGGGCAGAGCCACGCAGGGGGAGGGGATGTCGCGGGCGTCCCCAGGGTCTGCACTGGGTCTGTCTCAGGCATCGCTCTTCCTGACAGCCGACCACCTTTCCCCAGAGGAGCGCTCTCACCGCCCCGTCTGCCGTGCCCCCTCCCGCTCACTGTCCATCCCTCCTCTGCCAGCTTTCCTGAGCAAACCCTCCCTGGGCCTCCTGCCAGGAGCTGTGAGTGACCCCGGCTCTGTGTTCCCACCATGGTGTGCGGTGA